CTTCGTATATGGCGCCAATTTTTGTCGAATTCAACGGTCTTTGCTTTTTTTCAAAATACAGAATGGATTAATAATCAGCAATTACATCTTCACGCCGATTGCGCAGGTGGAGCAGATCTAGGTTGTGGTGCTTTATTTAACTGTCGCTGGGTTTTTCTCCAGTGGCCATCGAATTGGCGTAATAAACATTTTCTTCGGGATATATCTTTTCATGAGCTCGTATCTGTAGTTTTAGCCCTTTATATTTGAGGGAAAAGGATAAAAAAACAATAGAATAATATTTTGAACAGACAACGAGGGGCTGGTTAGTATCATAAACAAACACACCTCCAAGTCTAAATATGTAATGACTTTAATTCGAAAATTAGTCTTAATTTGCTTGCAAAATAATATTTTTTTTAAAGCAAAGCATATTGGAGGTTCTTCTAACAAAATATGTGATTCTATTTCTCGAAAACAGTGGCACAGACTTCGGCAATTGCTGCCCAAAGCAGATTCAACTCAGGAGAAAGTACCGGAAGATTTCCAGAACCTTTTATCAACTTTGAAGTAGAAAGACTTTTGGCCGAAGCAACTGCATTTAACACGAAAAAGGCTTATGAGACAGGGTTACGATCCTCTGAAAATTCAGACAAAGTTATAATTTCCTAAATTCGTGGCCACCTTCTGTCGATCAAATCTCAAATTATGTAGCCCATTTATCTCTTATAGGTAATCAATGGTCAACTGTAAAGCTTTATTTATCAGCATTAAGTAATCGAGGTAAACTTTTAGATATCGAAGACAATACAAACAATTTTCTTAAAAAAAAAACATGGCTGACAGGTAAAAGTGGGAGGAATTTGCTCTGTGACAAATGACTAATAACTTGTGAAACAGTTCTTTTTTGGACAATTATAATACAAGGATGTGCTGATATCATAGTAATTATTCTGAGACTAGAGGTTTTTGAAATATTGGGATGTACATAAATTCATATAAAGTATTGAAGGAAGTTTTAGTGATTAGGTGTAACAAGTGAGAAGAGTAATCAGGAGACCAGATTGTTTAAGAGTCTGACTTAAGTGAACTTATTTAAGAATTGTAAGCTGTGTATTGAGCTGTGTAGTGAACTGTTTAATGAACTGAGCAAAATTAATTGACCATTTATCACCAATTTGAAATTTAGCCAAAATAGAAAATAAAAAACAACCTGATAGTGATAAACAATCTACTAAGAGAAACAGACCAAATTCATCTAATGGTTCATCCTTGACTGAGGACTCAATAAATATGGAAGATATTCATGATTCTACTGTTTTTCTGAAGGAGAATATGGTGACCAAAAGTGATCTTGCCCTTTTTGTGGCAGAGATAAAAAATACAATCATATCTGAAGTGAGGAAGGAAATGAAATTGGATATAAGGCAGCTGGCTGATAAAATTAACGAATTGACTGAAAAATATGATGCTACTCTTATTGTGAACGAGCGCCTTCAAAAAGAAAATGAAATACTGAAACAAGAGCTAAGAGAAGTAGACAATAGAATGCAAACCAATACAAACAGAATAAACAAAAGTATATGTATGTCTACAATGAACACTACTCAAGGAAAATGAACATCTGAAAGTCAAGGTGAAAATCTGTGCAATAAGTTTTGTGGAATTGTCAAAAGACTAGCAGGTGAAGAGTTAGCCATATCTGAGATTGTAGCCTTTCACAGACTACCATCAAAATTCACAAACTTACCAAGACCAATCATCTGTAAATTCATAAACTCCGAAACAAAGAGTAGAATAATGAAGAATAAAGGGGTCTTTTTTTGAA